GTCCATGCCCTGAGAAAGAGGCTTTCAGAGTGTTTTCCCCTTTTGGCAGAAGTAGGAACAATTTTCTATACCTTTCTAACAAAAACGGCATCTCTGGGGAACATACTGCGGGCAGAGATGTCTGTCCTTTGGAGTTACCACCTCCTTTCCCACCATCTTTCAAGTCTCAGGAAGAGTCCATCTGACTCATTATCAGGCACTATTATCAAGAGTATGGTAACACTGCAACATATATCAAACCCAGTAAAGAAACTGTGAAACATGTTCCACTTTATTGGGCTGTAAAAGTGTAAAAATAACAAGCGGGTAGCAGTTGAGGACTAGGGATAAAACTAAAAATGGGATCAATGGTGCCATCTAGTGGGCACTCTCAGCACTACCACACCTAAACTGCTGCCCCGCCCATACACTTAAGTCAAACCATTCTGTTCCCAAATATAAAGGTGAGCAGCCGACAACAAAATAATCTAATCTCCCATATTAATATACCAAAATTCTCACACGGTGCAAATCTACCTTAGTGAAGATAGAGCTCAAGTGTTGACCTCATGTGTCAAGAAATATCACATCTTTAGGAGTTAATGATTGGGTCTAAATCTATTATCTTCACTCTGTACAACCACCCTTCACCAGCCAAAATCTAAAAACAGCTTGTTTTTTATTAGTAGAAGATGAGGATAAGTGGGAGATTATAATATCCACTTGAGGTAATTTCTAGCAAGAATTTACAATGGCAACTGAGTCTTGAATCTCCCATAAGATTTCTTAAAAGGATGAAAATATCAAATTTTAATGTAAAGGCATCTTTAACCAAGCTGTCAAAGTCTTCTTCCTACATAATTGGTGGAAAAACAGTTCATGGAGATCTAACCTTTGTTTAATGCCTACTAAGTACCTGCACTTTATTATAACACATACACATTCTATTATTTAATCCTTACAACATATCTGATATCTGGATTCCAGCTCTTCCTCTTATTAGTTATGTGACACTGGGCAAACCACTTCTTTTTTTTTTGTTTTTAACTAGGCAAAAAACTTTATTAACCTTGTTTCAAACTTTATCCTCGGCTTCTTCAGCTTAATCAGCTGCAAAGAAAGAAAATTGTATATAAGCAAAAACTAAAAAGAGCTGCACTGTCCAAGTGGCCTGGGCTTTAAGATACTAGAGACCTAGATTTTATCAGCTCCACGAACAAAATTCTAAAAAGCAGTCATAGTATAAAATAGCCTCTCCCAGCGACTTCTTCAAGCTCTATCTTCTTCAGAAGTTGACTCATTCAGCTTGCTTCATTCTTGGAAGCTTCATCAAACTTCTCCACCAGATCTGGAACTTCATTCTTCTCCTCCTCTCTGGTAGCGAGTGGTGCTGTTCTGTCTACAGATTGTGTAGCCAGAGCTTCAGCGGGTCCTCCTAAACTGATCAGACTGTCTGCACCAAATTGGTTAAGATGCTGGGTAGCATTTCTGTCAGCTGCCTGGTCTCAGAATGGCCTGGAATGTGAAAGTGTTTACTGCCCCAAACTTTAGGTTCCTTGAAGTGGATTTCTGTTCCTTGGTTTGGGAACATATTCACTTCTTCAATACCAGAGATATCGTTCACCCCTAACTTTGTTAAGGGAAACTGAAGTTTTTTTATTCATCTGCTGTAGCGGTTCTATGAACCACCTTCTTCTTCTTTTAATGTTTATTTTTGAGAGATAGAGAGGAGACAGACAGAATGGAGGAGGAGCAGAGAGAGAGGGAGACAGGATCCCCAGAAGCACAGAGCTGGAATTGGGGCTCCATCTCATGAACTGAGATCATGATCTGAGCCGAGGTCGGACTGAGCCGTCCAGGTGCCCTAGAACCATCTTCCTTTTAGGTGGGCTGTTCCTTTCCTACCAATGCACATTTATGCTTTCAGATTGGCAAGTTTCTCCTGGTTCATGATAGTTTCTTTCATCTTGCTGAAGCAGAAATTGAACCATGCAGGGGGACTAGGGTTCCCTTTCAGGGAGTCTCAAGCTGAGGTTAGGTGCATAAAAGTGGGCACACAAGATGTAGGAAAACAACTTCCTAACTCCTCTGAGCCTCTTGACTCATCTCTGGATGACAGTGGTTCTCTGACAGGTTTGTGGTAAGATTTGAATGATATCTTTAACCATGGAGAGCTGAGTATCATGCTCACTTAAAAGCGCTGCGGGAGCTCCTAGGTGGCTCAGTTGGTTAAGCCTCTAACTTTGGCTCCGGTCGTATCTCACGGGTTCATGGGTTCCAGCCCCCTGTTGGGCTCTGTGCAGACTGCTCAGAGCCTGGAGCCTGCTTCAGATTGTGTCTCCCTCTCTCTCTCAAAAATAAACAAACAAACAAAAAAAAAAGTGGATGCATTATGCCAGACCCAGGGAGTCCCTGGACTTCCTCTCCATGAAAAGGCTTGCTTTTGGAAATTGGGGGTAGAATGTAGTGGTCTTTTTGAGAGAGCAGATTAGGGAGCACTCAGCTTAGACTCTGATACCTGTATGCAAGGAAACGAATTTTTCTCATGTCTGAAATGTTAGCTCTCTTTTTTTTTTGCCCTAGATGTAAGGGGAACACTTACAAATGAGCCCAGCTAATTTGGAGAGGGCCATCTCTGAAGTCTCTGGTCTATATGATATAAAATCAAGTTTCCTCCTCTTGTTTTGAGTCCCTGAAAAGACGAACATGGAGTGTCTTAACTTGCATGGTTTAGGAGGCTGTGGTCAATTTACCAATCCTTTGATCTTTATATATTTGGTGTGGTGAGCTACTAGCGAGTCTTCTGAAGTACAAGGCTCATTTGTACACACTGTCCAGCTCTACCCCCTTTTCATTGTTGCCTGGAGTGCTCTTCCTTTTCCTTTTCCTTTGATAAATTCTCGTTAGTTCTCAAGAACCAGGTGAAATGGCTCCTGATGGGTGAACAGCTCCTAGGTCTCCATACCTCCCTTTGTCCAGATAAGCGCTCTGCCCTCTTTGCTCACATGGCACCTTGTCGGTTTCTCCAACTTGCACCAACAATGCACTAGATTACATTCACTTACACACAGGTCTCTCCCCAAAGAAGGGCAACTCCTAAGGGTCAGGGGTCATTGCCATCTGTGTCCCTATTCCCTGCCCCACCTCCATTTCTCCTCACGTTTACTTCTTGTGATTGTATTCAATAAAGTTAGGACTTGGGCACCTGGGTGGCTCAGTTGGTTAAGCATCCCACTCTGGATTTCGGCTCAGGCCATGATCTCATAAGTACAGCCAGTGGAGAGGGGGCTTGGGATTTTCTCTCTCTCCCCTCCCCCGTTTGTGTGCTTTCGGTCTCAAAATAAATAAATAAGCATTGAAAAAACTAAAGTGGTAGGAGATAAGCTATTGTTCCTGACTGTTTTGCAGGAATCTATACTAAGACATGTGACCAGTGAGTGCCTTACACAGTGCTCGGCATATGGTAGAAGCTTAAACACTGCCTGAATGAGTACCCTCAAACTGACAATTATTTTTGGAGATTTAAACAGTGTAATTTGGGGGCACCTGGGTGACTCAGTTGGCTAAGTGCCTGACTCTTGATTTCAGCTCAGATCATGATTTCATGGTTTCAAGGGTTTGAGCCCTGCTTCGGGCTGTGCTGACAGTGCGGAGCCTGCTTGGGATTCTCTCTCCCTGTCTCTCTACCCCTCCCCTGCTCATGCTGTCTCTGTCAAAATAGATAAACTTAAAAAAAGTTTTAAACAGTGCAATGTTTAATGGTATCAGGTGCCGCTTGTGGACAAACTGGATTTAGCTTTCTTGCCTTCTAGGACTTGTGGGATTCTGATGGAATCAATTTTCTGGTTAAAAATTTTTTTTTGTAAACATAAGCCAAGATTAATTGTTAATGGGATAAGTCTAGAGAAAACCTCATTTATATTTTCAAGAAAGGGACCAATGTGGCTGGTGGTTTGATAGCTCCTCCTTGCTTATAAGAATCGAGATGAAAATTTCACCGAAATCCACCCCTCCCCTCACATCATAATAGTAAATATCTGTGCCAAACTTGTTTCACCTGTAACAACACCCAGGCGATCAGAAGCTGAACTGCAAGGAGACTTTTTCTAGCAACATTTTGCTCTTTAAAAACACCTATTATTCCAGGCTAACTGCCTTATTAACCTCATTTCAGCACATTTTTGTACATGAGAAGCAGTCAGACATAGGTTCGCACCTTTAATTATTGGCTTGACAAGGACTGCCAGGAAAGAATAATAAATAAATGAAATGTGGCCAGGATCAGGAAGCAGGATAGTAAGAAGATAATAGATGATGCTACCTGACATCACGTTTATATCATGTTGCAAACATGCTAACTTGTTTACATCATGTTGCAAACATGTGTTAAGGTTAGGAAACTGAAACCAGCTTGAGTTAAAAAAAAAAGAGAGAGAGATCTCAATGGGAGCCTCTGAATGTGGCTGCTGGGAATAATGCTGTTTAGATTTGTGGGGCGGAACAGCCACAGGATGGTTTACACAAATTTGCGTGTTGGCCTCTCCATTGTTGCTTTTCTCTTCCTTGTGTGACCCGTCACAGGCTCTCAGCTCATGTTTGAATAAATAGGAAGATGTGGAATTGATGCTTCTGTCTGAGAGGCTTATTTCTCCCAATATTATAGACCCAAATCAGCTGCCTCAAATTTTACAGAGGACGCACACCTGAAAATCCATTCACCTATAAAGTTCTCTGGTTAGGATAAATTCCCCCAGAGAGGTAGCTGTTACCAAAATATTCAAAGTCTTCCAGATTGGTGAACCTCGCCTTTAACGTTTATACACATAAATTAACTCTTCAAGCACAACCTCCTCTGCTATTGAAGTCTGCTCCATATATTTGTTTTTTAAGTAAGCTTGTAACCTCTACTCTCTCACATTTACAGGCACAGCAGTTTACTATATATTTTCTTACCACCAGATTCTAGTTTTCTCTTTACCTTTAAAAAGATGATTTCAAGAGAATACAAGGCAGATACTTGCCTGGGTGTAATGCCCGCAGACCTGGGTGCATTTATGAGTCCTGAAGTCGTAGTATTGAATTTCATTGTACCAGTCTGCAATGGCTGAAGATACAGAAAACAGGGATAGGGACCCAGCCCAGATGTTTTCTCCCACAAAGGAGAAATTTGGGTGCAGCTTGTAGCTCGAATGCAGCTCAACGTTGTGTTTAAACTGACAGTTCCTTGCCCATGTTTTTGCAACTCGGGCTAGCACTGGGTCCCAAGTCTGCAAAAAGAAACACGAAACAATAGGAGGGTCCGGAATGCAAATTGGGTTCTGTAACGATTTTTCAACTAGCGCGGGGGGGGGGGGGGGGGGGGGGGGGGGGGGGGGGGGAGTGGGGGGGTGGAGACTGGGAGAGGAATCAGATACTGGAAGATGAGGAAACTGACGATCAGAGGGGAATCGGTATTGTACGGTTCATGAGAGAAGGTCCTTGCACATCACAGAACAGGAATTAGACCAGTAGCTCAACCGTCAGGCACGGAAAGCTGTAAAAAGGCACCGCTTAACACGCAAGCGGGAACTGTTACCGGCCGCTGCACCCCCTCCCGGATGGACCACGCCCCGTCCCTTTAAAGTCTCTTGGCTAGACAGAAAGCCTGGAGCTGGCTTTCGGACCAGAGTCTGCCTACACCGCAGGTAGCCCGCCTCCTGAATACAGCTTCTTTCAAAAAGAATGAAAACTGTTACCAAAAAATGTAACTGGAATGAGCAACATGAGACTCTGAAGGGGGAAATGAGGCGTGACGACGGTGATGACCCAACAGAGAAAGGTCCTCCACGTAAGTGTGGTCTCCCAGTATTGAATAAGGCCACTGGGAAACTTGATGATCTCGTTTTTTGTGCAATTTAAAGACCAAATGAGGGACGCAGATCAGCATTTCACTGAAAGCCTGTTATGTGCAGAATACTGTATGCTGTGTTTCACACTAGTTTATAGTATTTTATAAACACAATAATAGTCCGTATCCCAAGGAGCTTAGAGAGGTTAAAAACCAGCCCACAGCCACGGAGCTGGGGTTCAAACCCACGTCTGACTCATTCAAAATCCTGTCCTTTCCTGAGCTGCCATGCTGCCTTCCTGAGAAAGTCAATATACTCTGACAGCAACAACAGAAAAGTAAACGTACAGACAAACAAAAAAAGCCCTCAAAAAATTAACAGGGAAGAAAGTGACCAAAAAAACCAAAAAAGTCGAATCTTCCTATGACCAGAAAGGAAATATCTAGAAAGAGGAGTGAAAAGTACTTGCTGAGCTTGCTTACAAGAGATGAGTCAACAGAGCTAAACCGGATTCGTTTTGATCCCAGACTGAATTTACTGCACCCATTAATCACAATGAAAAAGAAAAAGCGTTCAGGATGAGCAAGGATTTACCTCTACAATCAACACACGGTAGTTGCTTTTTTTACTTACTTCTACGATTACTGATATTTTCCTTACCATGTATAGCATATCACTGGCTCTTGGATACACCTCTGATCGGAACTTGTTATGAAATCGAACACAGTCTTTGATGAAGTCTTCATTTTCGATATCGGGCAAACTAACTGTGTTTTCATAACCGGGGACTAAGGAAACCATCCAGGCTGTCACGGCAAGTGTGACCCACATGCTCAGGCTGTCTGGCATGGAGCCCTGGGAGGCTGGAAACCAGAGCCAGTGCAGGTTCTGAATGCGTGAGCCTCTCCCAGTCTGACAGAGCACAGGCTGACTTCAGCTTTGAGAAAACAGAAAGCAGAACTTGAGTTCATCACAAGTTGAAAGAAATGGATTTAGCCATATATGGTTTGCCACCACTTTTCTGCTGTTAACCCTGCCTTCTCAGCGGTTCTCGGTGACACAGCACCTATTACAACATAGATATTTACGAGGCTGCATCAGACTTTCGAGTGAGGGGATACTTCCAAAGGAAATTCTGGAATCTCCAGAAACAACAGTCTCAATTTTTATGGAGGTTCTGGTGGTTAAATAAAAACATATCTCTTACTTCCATAAATGTCTTGCAAAATGCTTTTCAAGTTTGTTTTGAGTCATATGAGCACACAGTGGTTGGGATATCTGGTGAACATCTTAACTTGACCTAGAATTCATTCCCAGTGGCGTGTGTGTGTGTGTGTGTGTGTGTGTGTATAACCATGGCAACGAGAGGGCAGAGAGAGAATAGTAGAGAGAGCACTGCTCTCAATTTCAGATTTTAGTTTAAGTTCTGTTCCTCCCTAGTTGCAGCTGCCTATTTACTGAATGAAGCAAATACAACTTTTTCTAGCCCCTTAATCAGAGAGGATTTGGGAGGCTCTAACGAACTAGCTGATATATTAACTCAATATGAAATGTCTACACTGGGTATTCAGTTTAGTAATAGGAGATGAAAATGCTGCCCTCGAGGAGCCGAGAGAAGCAGGAGCTGTGGGGTGGTGACAAGCCCAGGAGAGTTGAAGGTCTGGGTGGAGGAAAGCACCAGGGGCTAAGGACATAGGATGCCTAACCCATTCTGGCAAGGGTCAAAATGGCTTCCTACAACAGCAGTGAGGTCTTTGCTGAGCTGGAATCAGACTTGTGTTGATCAAGTGAAAAAAAGAAAAGGAGGTGAAGGGAATTGGGGGATAGGAACTATATATCTGAGGCAGGCAGGCCGGGTGCAAGGACCCAGGGGGTCCTGGGCTTGGAGAAGGGTGGAAATCAGATGCGGGCCAGCAGGAGGGGAAAGCAGAGTTTACTGAAGTATATATATAGAAAGAGATACATGGAGCATCCAGGAAAGGAAAAGAGCATGAGTCTCACCTTTGCTTGGGGTCTGGGATTTTTATTGTCAATTATGGTCTGGTACATGTGTCCTCTTAGACATCCAGAAACTGATCAGAACCAGGAAAGTCTGGGTGTCCTTCATAAGCCACTCACTCCCTCATGTCAGGGGTCTTGGTGTCAAGGTGCTAGAAGTCAGTGTTCTTAGAGAACGTTTATGATGATGATCCTGCTCCATCACTTTTTAGACCTATTGTGCTGGGAGACTCCAAAGACATCATTATCTCTTTGTCCCTTAAAAGGGAAATATATGTAGCCTGGCTGACTCAGTCTGTAGTGAATGTGACTATTGATCACAGGGTTGTGAGTTCAAGCCCCACATTGGGCATAGAGCCTACTTAAAAAAAATAAAGGAGAACATACGCTTTTTGCATTACAAGGCATGTGTAGAGTGGAGTGGGGGTGCAGGTCCTAGCAAAAAGAGAAACTGGAAAAGAAGCAAGGGGAAAAAAAAAGGTTTTCTTTTCCACGGGGTCCCTTCAGGTTCTCGGTCTCATACCCAACTGTGAAGTTGGAAACAAGAATAGAGAGTGACTGGGGCGCCTGGGTGGCTCAGTCGGTTAAGCGTCCAACTTCGGCTCAGGTCATGATCTCACGGTTGTGGGTTCGAGTCCCGCGTCGGGCTCTGTGCTGATGGCTCAGAGCCTGGAGCCTGTTTCAGATTCTGTATTGTTGTGCCCAAATTGGGAGTCCCCTGAGACCTCCAAGGAGCCGACACTGATGCAGGTACATAAGGGTCTTTATTACAAGCTCAAGCAGGGGCTCACCCATCTACTGGGGCAAGCAGCACCAAGAAGAAGCCCCGAACAATAGCGAGCAGGGTTTTTATGGGGTAAGGGACGGGGGTGTTACAGTGCACATATTGTACATTTTGCATCATCACATAAGCACCAATCCTAATTGTACCACACCCATGGTAACAGTTTTGACCATTCAGTGTCTGTGAGGCGTCCATTACTTTTGGCGGGACCCAATCATGACCTTTGAGAATCCTTTGAAAATGACCAATCATGAGATGAGCTCAAAGGGCCCGCGTGGGGTTTAGGCAAACGAGTGATTGGCTAGTTTGTACAGAGTAACTACCTGCAGTTCCCAGCCCTGACTCAGACCACAGGAATGTTACACATTTCTTTTGATTGGCTGATCCGAGGGTGGTCCTGAGGGTGGCTTCAGCTGAAGCTTTTCCTGGAACTGGGCTACGTGCAGCCCGAGGTTGCTCTTAATGAAGGACTTAATTTCAGGCTCTTCAGTATCTCCCTCTCTCTCTGACCCTCCCCTGCTCACGCTGTCTCTCACTCAGAAATAAGTAAAACATTAAAAAAGAAAAAAAATTTAAAAGAATAGAGAGCCACTGCACGTTGTCTTTCTCTACAGAGATGGTCTTCAAGTATGGCTGGTAGGAAACATGGTACCTGGTTCTCATTGAATTTAGATTCCATGGGCACCTGGGTGGCTCAGTTGGTCATGATCTCATGGTTCATGGGTTCAAGCCCCGTGTTGGGATCTGTGCTGACAGCTAGCTCAGAGCCTGGAGCCTGTTTCAGATTCTGTGTCTCCCTCTCTCTCTGACCCTCCCTTGCTCACGCTGTCTCTCTTTCTCTCTCAGAAATAAATAAAACATTAAAAATTAAAAAAAAAACAAAGAATCCAAATAGTGCTTTCATGACAGGGAGAGCAGTAAGAGGCAGATCAGGGAGAACTTTCTGGCTTCTGTCAATGATTTGGATTTTATCACAAATCAAATTAGAAGTGATAGAAGGTTTTTTTTTTTTTAAGCTGTAGTTGGGGTGTGATCTGGTTTTAGAAAACCAAGAGATATGGAGAATGGAATAGGCTTGGGGGTGATTATTTTTGGTGGAAACTCTTAAAAGGAAACATTATAGAACTCTGAAGTGAAATTATTGCCCCCGCCACATAACTTCAGAAAGTACTCATAAATAATGTCACTTATGTCCAGGCTGCCTAATTTGCACTAGCATTCCATTCCATTATATTGACCTAAGACTCCTTGTCTGGAGCTCAGAGGTAACCTTTTGATCAAGGTAGTCAGTCAACAGTGAGACCTTCCTGAAGCTTGAGGTGGGATACAGGCCTGGGTCTGCTTCCCACCTTCTTCTGAGTCTCTGTGAGCTAGACTGACTGAGTTTTGAACACCAAAACAAGAAAAATGCAACCTTGCAAACAAGAAAATTTAGTGACATTTTGTGATTGCTTGAGCAATCCCCATTGCACATACACAACTCCCAAGAATTAGCAATATTATCTTCGTACTGAAACGAGCTAAACAATTTTCTTCTTGAATTTCTTGAAAATAATAAACAAAAAGGAAAGTTGGCCGTCACTGAGACCCTTTTTACATTACTATGCGAGGCCAATTAGCTCCTCTGAACTAAAACCTTTAACATGTCTTACTTTCCACAACAAAAAGGTTTCCACAACAAAAGCCCACAGAGGATGGTTTGCTCAGAACAAAAGGAATTTTTAGCAAGGAGTGAAGGCAAGCCTCTGCTTCTTTTCAAGAGGCTTACAACTTTGCTGAGTCTTTCCTTACCCAGGGTCTTTGCCATGGTCTTGAGAAGCATGTCTGTGTGTTAAGAGACTTGTTTTCAGTGTTTATCTCTGAAAGGTGGCTGTTTAGATTTTTTTCCTTACTTCCTTAATCTCTTCTGTACTGTGGAATTTTTTTTACAGTAATTATATAGTATCTTTTATAAACAGAAAAAAAAACCCTAGAACTATTTTATTCTGGAGAAGCATGGGATCTTTACAATTGTACACAAATTAACTCATATACACTGCTGATAAAGGCATGCATAGATAAAATACTAAAGGATTATGGCGAAGCCCAGTACTTTTTGTTTGAAGGACCTTCTTGTTCAAGGGAGTTGAGGAGAATAATCAGTCATTGTTTATGACATCTTGAGGAGGCCACTCTGGTGTAGATCATTCGGAGGGCTATGAGAAATACAAAAAAGATTAACAGGCAGAGAACTCCAATAATCCAAATATGTAAACTGAGCCCATGGAATGAGTTGGTTGGATTTAACCATTTCACATTGTCAGATAACTCCTGTTCAACCTGTATCTGTGTTTCCTGTTGAATATCTAAGGTTTCTTTTTAATGTGTTTTATTTATTTCTAGGAAAGAGAGAGACAGTGTGAGCAGGGGAGGGTCAGAGAGAGAGGGAGTCACAGACTGAAACAGGCTCCAGGCTCTGAGCTGGCAGTCAGCACAGAGCCCGACGCGGGGCTCAAACCCACGAACCGCGAGATCATGACCTAAGCGAAAGTCGGATGCTTAACCGACTAAGCCACCCAGGCGCCCCTGAATATCTAAGTTTTGATGCAGCTCGGAACACAGAGCATTCATCTCAGATTGTAAGTTGGTGGAAAAAGCTCCTTGTAGGTGTTTTTTTCAGTAAATCCCAGGAGTGTTGAGACATATTATATTGTAAGGGAATGACACAAATTTTGTCACATTGCCTGTCACACTGTATACGTTGATGATCAACAAGTGCCTGTTGGCAGTCCTCCCTCCCTTCGAGGGCTGCTTCTGCAGCTTGTAGTCTCTGCATGAGATCGTTATGAACCTGTTTGAATCCTTGTTGCCTTGGTGATATTAGTCATTATGGGACTGACTGCTTTAGCAGTGTGGATAGACTGTAAGGGAGACCACTGCCACAGAGGCAGTGCCTAAAATGACAACCAGTGAGATAAAGAAGGCAATGAGTCATCCAACAAATCTTTTAGGTCTCCACTTAGAAATGACTTGGGCTAATTCAGTGACACTATTGCACCCTTCCCAGAGCCCCACTAGATTTACTGGCAACCAAATTTGAGGCTGTCTTTTTAAGATAAACATGGGCGAGATAGAAAGTTTGGTAATGTTACAATGACTGATACAGGCTGTGTACCAAGCCAGAGGAGGTACTTCAAAAACAATACGGTTGTCAAATGCTATATTAACCAGCTTAGTGGAAATTATGAAAACATAAGGATGAGGTGTGCAGATCATGACACTGTGTGCGACAATCTGTGTGAGATTCATACAAAAGGTGCCACTACTATTAGCATAATGCCCATGAGAGAGATTGAGAATCAAAAAAGAAAGGCTAAAATGCTGTAAGCTGTAATGCCGTGGGCTATGTGAATCTGTTTTCAATGATTAATATTGGCCCTGAAAATCTGCCATCAGTCCAAAGGATGGAGGAATTGCTAGGTTCAGAAAACCTAATAGGTTTGCCCACTGAGGTTGTGTCCTTTAGGACCCCAGTTAATGAGAGTAAGATTTTGAAAAAATTCCTCTTTATGGGCAAGGGAGTTCTGGCAGGGCTACCAGATGACTGAAGAGCTACTAGGGACCATATCTTCCTTATTTGGCAATGATGAATGGGGGGTGGGTAAGAATCCTTGGTGGAGGGGCACCCAGATGGCTCAGTCAGTTAAGTGTAGACTCTTGACTTCAGCTCAGGTCATGATCTCATGGTTCATGACTTCGATCCCCGCATGGGGCTCTGCGCTGACAGCGTGGAGCCTGCTTGGGATTCTTTCTCTCTCTCTCTCTCTCTCCCTCCCTCTCTCTCTCTCTCTGCCCCTCCCCCTCTCATGCTCTGTCTCTCTCCTTCAAAAATAAATGAACATTAAAAAATTAAAAAAAAAAAGAATCTTTGGTGGAGGTGGATGTAGTAAAGGAGGCTACTGAAATGAATGTCAGATTTGCTTTATGGTCCTTTGTTTTAGGCACGTAGTGAACGTATGTCTGTGCTATGATTTTTAAACATCCAGAAGTGTTCACAGTGGTTACACAAATAGGAGGGAAATGTGATGATGATGAGGGAGCATGGGGCAAGCTGACAGCAAAGTACAGACTAATAGCACCCTAGCCACCACCCAGGTGGAATATGTGCGATATTCCTTGGATGTTCCTGGCTACTCAAGAACAAAGGAAAAGGGTTTAAGCGCTTGCCATGCCAATGTGGGAGACTAAGGCCAATGAAAAATTAAATCACCTTACTGCCTACAGCCCACTGACAAGTCCTTGAAACTGGCAGAATGAGGCTCAGCTGCCTCAATGATGACACTTTGGTAGGGACAACAGGGAAGCTTAGCTTAACATTATCCTGATGTCCAGGATCCTATAAGTCTACTTTGACATAAAAAATTCCTTTGGAAACTTCCTTTATCTCCACTTCCCCAAGATATATGCTGACAATCGTACTCCAAGCTTATGGCCCCCTGATATACATCTGAAGGGCCTCATGACGGAGGTTTTACTAAATGGTAATAAATGGCATCTCCCTAGCAACAGCTAGCCCTTCAAAGTCCTGGAAACCTTGCTTCCAAAATTCTTTAGAGATTTACTCTATCCCTGAACCCCTCCCAACATGAGGGTATACAGTGAGTTATATACAACCCCAGTGCAACCCTTGCTGCCCACGGGTCCTGTCCCCATGCTTTCATAAAATCACCTTTTTGCAGCAAAGATGCATTCAAGAATTCTTTCTTGGCTGTCAGCTCCAGACCACCCCACCATCACCCAAAAACTTCATCAGTAACAAATTGAGAATAGTTACATCAGAATTTTTTTTTAAGATGGTAAGTTTATCAAGTACGCACGTACAGGTTTTCCATAGTAAAATTTTAATAAAGCACGAAGCACGTTTATCAGACCCAAACAGTCTTAGTTTCTCTGCAATAAGTCAGAAGCACAAACCTACATCTAGTCATCAGTGCTTTAGTCTTTTATCTCATTAGTCAATGAATTCAACCCCATTTATTGTGCAAACAAAACTTTAACGTTTTAGGTTACCAAGGACTGAAAATTATCTCCACAATTACCCATGAAAACTTTGAGACAGACAAAATTAACCGTTATTTTAAGTCATCCTTTTGCTAACAAATTGCAACAGAGATAACAGAAGCTTACTTGACTTTCAGCAAGCCTAGATAGAATAAATTCCATATTTAATGCTGATAAACAGGTCTATCAAAAACCAGCAAACTTAAATTATCCTAAATACAGAATACGTTTTACTTGGGTCCACTTAAGACAATTTGTTCCCCATGGTTAATTTTTACCTGGAATGCTGGTGGAGAATATGAAGTGGGCGGTCCAAAGTGGTGCTCTTTCCTCTTGGACCCTGGACCGAAGGGTGGGAGGAGGAGCCAGTAGTGCCCAAGGCACTGAGGATGAGATAGAAACCAGTTATGCAGGCCACACCCCAGGTGGTGCCGAAGCCGGAAAGGGAGGGGAAGGCTGAATGGGTGAGATTTGGCCTAGAAGCCAGGAGGCAGATAAAAGCCCAGAGGGCAGAGAAAGAGGTCTCCTAGTCCTAAAGCCTGTCAGCAGCACAAACAGAGCCAAGCCAGGTTTTTGTTTTGTTTTCCACCAACTAGTGGAATTAGGCAGCCCAGTTCAGGCCAGAGAAGATAGGGAATTTCCCCAAACAAATGGAGTTTCGGCAGCTGCTTGGGGATATTCCTTAAAGTCCCTATCCTGAGGTACACTAACCATAGTTGGCTCCAATTATCATAGTCATTAACCAGGGAAATGAATGAATGAGTGAGTGAATGAATGAATGAATGAATGAGCAATCGGGAGGAGTAGTTAAGAAGGCAGTGGAGGGGAGTCATCCTCCATAGTAGGAGGTGTTCCAGGAGGGGCGGGTGTTAGCTTTTTTTCTTAATTTGTTCCTTCTCATGGAGATACATGTACAGACTAAACTCCAGGTCACGAAAATGGAATTGGAAACCTTCTCTCTTTCTTCAAGTTTCCTTTTTAAAATTTTTTCCCACTTGTTCCCATAAATCTAAATCAACTGAACCATAGTTGGGGACCCAGGAACAGGCATCTCTATTGCTCATAACAATTTACTTAATTGATCTGTAACAGTACAATGAGCCACCTTTAAGAGCTGCTGTAAAGTTTTTAAATATAATAGCTATTCCTTTGACATTTTTGGCCCATGGTAGAGACAGAGAAAAGAAACACTCTCACTAAATAGAAGACACGGTGGCAGCTATCCCAAGCGGGTACTGCTGTCACTTACCGAGACGTGGTCTCTCTGAAGTCTAGGCAATGTCACTGTCTTTTCCTGAACATGTCAATTCTGCCACCTGAAAATCTGCCTCTGAAGTGTATCACTATCGTGTTGGCGTCACCAATTGTGGGCTTGGCTTCGGCTTTGTCTAGTAAAGGAGGAGGGCAGACAGGATTACTCAAGACTCGGTGCAAGTCAAGAGAGGTGAGAGGGAGGCTGAAGGAAGTTTCCCTGCTCCCAAGCACCCGTATTCACTGAGTGTACATTTAGGCAAACATTGCACAATCCATCAGTGGGCTATGTGCCAGTAAGAATGTATAGAAAGCATGCAGAAAAACAACATGGATAAAATATTCCATGAAATAACATAGGTCTAAGGAATTTATGAGCATAGGCAGGACCTACCCCATAGATATACATTAACTAGATAAGCGAAGCTTGGCTGCTGTTTTCAGCAAAGCCAGAAAGCAGTTTTCTGCTTTGTAATGCATTTCCTATAATCTCCTAACCCAGGACATTGCTATTTGAGTTCCCTGACACACTGACAGCCTGAAGCCTGTTTGGGATTCTCTGTCTCCCTTTCTCTCTGCTCCTCCCCCAACTCATGCTGTCTTTGTCTCTCTCAATATAAATAAACTTTTTTTTTAAAGCATAAACCTATGTTTAGTAATCGGTGCTTTAACATTTTATCTCATTAGATATCCAATGAATTTAATCCCATTTATCGTACAAACAAAACTTTAAAGTTTCAGGCTATCAAAGACTTTGAAAGCTATCTTAATTACCCACAAAAACTTTACTGAGATAGAATTAGCCGTCATTTCAAGTCTTTTTGCTAACAAATTGCAACAGAGATACCACAAGGTTATTTGGCCTTTAGTAAGCCTAGATAATAAAACAACATTAAGGCATTAAGGCACTCATGAGTTCCTGGAGGAAGGTCATGCTCTGCATGTTTCAGGTGTCTATCAGTGGGCTGCAAGCTGGAAGGAGATTTATTTTTTTTAATATTTTTATTTATTTCTAGGAGAGAGAGAGAGAGAGACAGCGTGAGCAGGGGAGGGTCAGAGAGAGAAGGAGATACAGACTCTGAAATAGGCTCCAGGCTCTGAGCTGGCAGTCAGCACAGAGCCCGACGCAGGGCTCGAACCCACGAACCGCGAGATCATGACCTAAGCGAAAGTCGGACACTTAACCGACTAAGCCACCCAGGCGCCCCTGGAAGGAGATTTATTTAAGTTACATCTCTCTTGCCTTTGTTTTCCTCATCATCCCCCACCCCCCCACCCTGCGCTGTCCTCTATTTTCCCGTTTCATTTCAGTCATCTTCTCCACAGTTGTTACCATAATCTTTGCTTTCTGTTTTTGTTTCTCCATATCCCTCTTTATAAATATCTTTTATGTTTCCCTGAGCAGTTCTTCTATTTGCTTCTCATTCCATCCATCCATCTTTTGTAACTTTCCGGCAATATCAGGCCAACTTTTAGTGACAAAATTAATCTTCAGGAGACCCTGCACCACTGGCTCCTCTGGATCTAGGCCTGAATATTTCCTCATTTGATTCCTAAGCCTCTGTAAGACAGTAGTTGGGGTTTCCTCCTTCTCCTGCTGTATCTCAAAAGCCTTGGCGACATTCTCATATCTTGGAGTTGATTCCCTGATCCCTTTTAATTATTACCCCTCTTAAATCCTGTATCCTAACCCTGTGCCCAAGATCATGATCATCCCATCCAGGTCTACGTTGGGAAACTTTTGTTGAGCTTGCTGAACACCCAGGCCAGGTGGGTGCTGTCTCTCCCAAATAGACATTACAGCCCTCCTGATAATTCCTCTTTCCTCTCTGGTAAATAGGATATTCATGATAAACATTAGCTCAGCCCGAGAATAAATATTAGGTCCCTAGAACTGATCAACCTGATCTGCCAAGCTCAATAGATCTTCCAATAGTCGTTTTATTTCCTTCTTGAAATTCCTCACCTCAGTACTGGTGAGGGGGGCATTGACAAAGCCAATTTCTACCTGTCCCAAAGGGACTTCCCTTAATCAGAATAACTTAGAACACTTTCTTGAGCCCTGGGAGGGAAGAAGGAAGTTCTTTATGTCCTTTCCACATTGTTCCAGTTCCCTCCTCAGATTTGGACACAAACCAGTAGATAAAGATTTCCTTCCAGTACTGTGACCTTTGCCCCAATGGACTATCTGGAGGAGTCTGAAGAGACCATACCTCTTTCTGGGTGTCTCTTCCCTTACTCCTAGGACTAGATCTTTTGTTCTCCATCCTTGACCAGGCTAGTTCCTGCTCCTGAGCTTCCCCGGGGCATTCAACCACCCTTAATGGAGGTTTCTTGAACTCTCTAGAACCCACTTCGTCTGTCTCCAGCTGCTTCCCTTGCAGGAGAATGAAACCTTGGATAAAGACTCGGCATTCACTTTGTATCTAGGATATGTCTGATTCGCACACACTCAGCCTCTGAAGATTTTCCAGTCTCCAAGGCAATAATGTTCCTACCTTAGTCTCTGCACGAAATTACCAGGTCGCTGCCATAGGCTACACCCAGCATCACTTCTTCTATCTCTGAAAGTAAAAAGTTTTGAGTTCCACGAATCCCATAGGGGTCAGGGGTCCTCCCACAAAAAGGCCACCCAAACTGAGGTGGGAGATGTCTCCATCTCACAGGAGGACCGGGACCCTACCAGCTGAGGTGAAGCTTGGACAAGCCCCCAAATTTTCAGAAATAAGCCCACCATTAGGGGTGGGGAGTGGATGGAGGCCTGAGACAAAGGAGGGGTGCTTGATCAGAGGTGGGTGAGAGTGTGAAGTTCCTGTGCCAGAGACTAGGGAGCTGTGTAAAGCCATTTCCCTCTCCTGTTCCTGCTTGTGTGCACAGGCACACGGATTCACCCCAGTAAGCTAAGAAACATTACCTAGTGGAGAACAGAACAATTACATTAAGCCCTGCCTAACAGTGCCCTCCAAGCACATCCCCAGAAGATCAGCTGCAAGTCACTCTACCTGCTTAGTGTATGGATTATAGAGTGCTTCATAGTTTCAGTTCTAGGGGAAACTGCATGTAACTTCATTTAACTTTCATTCTGTTCATTGGTTCAATTATTTGTTCGTTTTCTTTGCTTCTGTATTTGCTTAAATTGTTTTCTTTTTTCTTTCTTTTCTTTCTCTTTCGTGGATACAGAAATTATTTATCTTCATTTTTTATTTTTTTAAATTTTTATTCTATTTTATTTTCTTTATTTTATCCTATAATTTTTTTAACTTTTAAAATTTTTTATATCTTTTTTTTTCTTCTTTCCTTTCTCTTCTCTATTCTATCAAGTTTCTTTCAACAAGCAGACCAAAACACACCTGGGATCTAGCTCCCTTACTTGATTTTTTTGTTTTGCTTTTAATTTTTTTAATTTTAATTTTTAATTATTTTTTCTTCCACCAAAATGAGAAAATGAAGGAATCCACCCCAAAAGAAAGAAGAGGAAGAAATGACAGCCAGAGACTTAATCAACACAAGTATAAGAGTATAAGATGTCTGAACTAGAATTTAGAACCACGATAATAAGAATACTAGCTGATGTTGAAAAAAGCATAGAAAACACCAGAGAATCCCTTTCTGTGGAGATAAAATAAGTAAAATCTACTCAGGCTGAAATTAAAACTACTATAACGAGATGTAATCTCAACTGGATGCCATGATGGCAAGGATAGACAAAGCAGAGCAGCGAATCAGCAATATATAAGATAAAATTATGGAGAATAATGAAGCAGAAACAAGAGTGAAACAAAGGCAAAAGATCATGACGCAAGACTTAGAGAACTCAGTGGCTGATTAAAAAAAGGATAACATCTGAATTATAGGAGTCACAGAAGGTGAAGAGAGAGAAAAAGGGGTAGAAGGTTTATGGAGCATATTATATCAGAAAAGTTTCCTAATCTGGGGAAGGACACAGACATCAAAATGCAAGAAGCACAGAGAAATCCCATTATATTCAACAAAAACCAACCATCACCAAGGTATATCATAGTCAAACTCACAAAATATAGAGACAAGGAAAGAATTATGAAAGCAGCAAGGGAAAAAAGTCTTAACTTTATAAGGAAAGACAGATCAGGCTCACAGCAGACCTATTCACAGAAACTTGGCAGGCCAGAAAGGAGTGACAGGATATATTCAATGTGCTGAATTGGAAAAAATATGTAGCCAAGAATTCTTTATCCAGCATGGCTATGATTCAAAATAAAAGGAGAGAAAAATTTCCCAGACAAACAAAAACTAAAAGAGTTTGTGACTACTAAACCAGCCCTGCAAGAAATTTTAAGAGGTACTCTTTCAGTGAAGAAAAGACAAAATAAAACCAAACCAAACCAAAAGCAACAAAGCCTAGAAAGGACCAGAGAACACCACCAGAAACACCAACTCTACAGGCAACACAATGGCACTAAATTCATATGTTTCAGTACTCACTCTAAATGTCAATGGACTAAATCCTCCAATCAAAAGACATAGGGTATCAGATAAGAAATAAGATAACACCCAATAAGTGATAAGAAAACAACACCCATCTATATTCTGCTTACAAGAGAGTCATTTTAGACTTAAAGACACCTGCAGATTGAAAGTAAGGGGATGGAGAACCATTTATCATGCCAATGGTTGTCAAAAGAAAGCTGGAGTAGCCATACTTACATCAGACAAACTAGATTTTAAACTAAAGACTGTAACAAGGTATGAAAAAGGGCATTATATCATTATTAAGGGGTCTATCCACCAAGAAGATCTAACAATTGTAAATATTTATGCCCCCAACATGAAATTCCAAATATATAAATCAATTAATTACAAACATAAAGAAACTCATTGATAATAATACCATAATAGTAAGGGACTTCAACATCCCAGTTACAGCAGTGGACAGATCAGGTGAGCAAAAAATCAACAAGGAAACAATGGCTTTGAAAGACACACTGGACTAGATGGACTTAACAGATATACTCAGAACATTTTATCCCAAAGCAGCATAATACACATTCTTCTTGAGTGCACATAGAACATTCTCCAGAATAGATCACGTACTGGTCACAAATCAGCC